CATGGTTACTGCCGGGCCGCGGGGCGCGTGACGTCATCGTGGTTGCGTCGCGTGACGTGGCCCCGGCGGGAGGAAGCCGGGGCGTCCTGGAAGGGGCCCCTCGCGTCCTCCTCGCGGGCGGTCCTGACCGGTCCTTCCTAGGGCTTTGTTCTTTTGTTCCGGCCCCGCCCTGCCCCGTCCGCCCACCTGCAAGCGTCCACGCCCGGCAACAGGTGCGTGCAGCGGCGTCCGAGCCCGCGGGGTCCCCGGCCGTCTGCGAGCTCCTGGGTCGGTGTCCAGGGCGCGCACCGAGCGCTTTTGGCGCTGGAGGCGGAACTGTGTGTCCTGTGTGGCGGGCACCCCACGTGCCTGTCTGGGGCTCTCCCGGACACTTCTGTGGAGCGGGGAGCCTCGCGTGTCGCCCGCCTGACGCCCGGCTTGTGTTCTAGGGCAGCCGGCCTCCGCGCTGCGAGAGGAGCTGGGCGGCTGACCCTCGGCCTGGGAGGACGCCGCAGAGGAGCGGGATGAGCGGAGATGGAAGGTAGCGGGGGAGGACGGCGCGCGGGTCCCGCCGCGGGGAGGCTGGGGGGCGGCCCCTGCGCCCCGAGTGTCCCTGAGCCTCACGACTTCAGCAGTGACCACCTGGAGGTCGGGAGGACTCTGGGGAGCCACCGCGTCAGTGCGGGCGTTAGTTCTGAAATGCCCTTGGCAGGTGGCCAAGCCTGTGCCACAGCGCGTGTGGCGTTGAACTCGCCATTTTGCGTGCGGACAGCCCCGTGGCTGCCTTTGGTTCTTTATGCGGCACAGCAGTGCCTATTCCTGTAACTTCCGCGTTGAGCTCAGCTCTCAGTTCCCCAAAGGAAGGGACCGTTGCTGCCGCCCAGAGTCCGGCACTCAGCTGTCAGAACCGCTGAGAGTTCTCTGCGACTTCCTTGCGCTGTGGAACGCTTCTTTGAGGACTTTCCTGCTTGCCGTCGTTTGGCTTTTATGAAAAACAGTTATTCGTCAGGCAGAGAGACGCAGAGGGGCGGACAGCCTGATCTCCCAACCACTGGTTCACTCCCAGATGCCTACAACGACTGGGGTTAGGCCAGGGAGCCGGAACTCAGGCCGGGTCTCCCACCTGCTGCCTCCCAGGGTGCACGGTAGCAGGAGCTGGAGCTGGGTCAGGCCAGGGGTTGAGCCTGACACTCTGATGTGGGTTGCTGGTGTCCTAAGCTTTGTCCCAACCACTAGGCCGACCCTTCTCAGCATTTTCTAAAACTAAACGCATTCTTTAGATGTGCTTTGAAAAATGCCAGTAAGTGGGAGGTCCCATTTCTTTTGGATATTAGTTTTGCTGTTTGGCATCAGATTGCATTGTCTTTCTTTCTTATTTGGAAGGCAGAGTTACAGAGAGGCAGAGAGAAAGGTCTTCCATGTGCTGGTTCACTCCCCAGATGGTCGCAACGGCCAGAGCTGTGCTGATCTGAAGCCATAGCAGAGAGCTGGTTCGGCAGTGGAGAGCAGTAGGGACTCAAACTGGTGCCCCTATGGGATGCTGGCACTGCAGGCGGTGGCTTTACCTGCTACGCCACAGCTCCGCCGCCCCTCCCCTCCCGCATTTTCTTAAAAAAATCAGCAACCAAATACAGTGAACCCTGGGTCTTTATATTTATATATATATATATAAAAGATGTAAACTTCAGTGAACTATATTTTTGCCATTCTTGTATGATGGAATTGTTATTATTTTTTAAGATATATTTATTTGAAAAGCAGAGCTACAATAGAGAGGGAGAGAAAAGTATTCCGCCTGCTAGTTCACTCTCCAGATGGCCAGAATGTCAGGGGCTGGGCCAGACAATAGCCAGGAGCCTGGAGCTTCTTCCAGGTCTCCTATGTGGGTGCAGGGGCCAAGCAATTGAGCCACCCTCTGCTTTTTTCCCAGGTGCATTAGCAGGGAGCTGGGTAGGAAATGGAGCAGCAGGATATCCTTAATGTCAGGATTTCACGTTTATGCTTGTCTTGGCAAAGTGTTCCAGTGCATCAAAATAATTCTAATTTAGTTAGGCAGTGTTTGAATTGTCATTTCAACTTTTCATTAGCAAAGTTGGTTAGCATTCCTTCTGTTTGTTCCTACATGTCAGGTCAGAACGGAGCCCTGTGACATGTCACTATAGACTTCCTTCTGCAGTGTTGTCGTTTCTGCATCATTTGTTTTCAGATTTATTTATTGGAAAGACAGCAACAGAGAGAGACACAGAGAGATCTTTTGTCTGCTGGTTCACTTCCCAATTATCTGCAACAGCTAGAGCTGGGCCAGGCCTAAGTCTAAGTCAGGAGCCAGGAACTGCATCTGGGTTTCCACAGGTGGCAGGGGCCCAAGTTCCTGGACAGTCGGTTCCTGCCTTCTCTGGAGCATTAGCAGGAAGCTTCATCAGAAGCAGAGCAGCTGACATGGGATGCTTGCTGTGCCCTTGTTGTGTGGTTTTGTTTTGAAGACTTATTTATTTGAAAGAGTTACGTATAGAGAGAAAGAGAGACAGATCTTCCATCTGTTCACTCCCCAAATGGCCACAATGGCTGGAGCTAGGCCAGGCTGAAGCCAGGAGTCAGGAGCTCCCTCCGGGTCTCTCACATGGATGCAGGGGCCCAAGCACTTGGGCCATCTTCCACTGATTTCCCAGGCACATTACCAGAGAGCTGGATCAGAGGTGGAATAGTGGGGTCTTGAAGGGCCATCCACATGGGATGCCAGCACCGTAGGCTGTGGCTTAACCCACTGCTCCACAGCACTGGTGCCTCCCCTCTGCATTCTTTCAAGTGTGGCTACACAGTCAGGTTTGCTTTAACCTATTGTGCAGTCCATTTTCTTGTATTTATTAAAAATATTGTCATTGGAAGTCTTAGCATTCATATTCATTTTGTTTTGTGCCTATATTTGTCCGTAATTTTTTGCCCCTCATATATTTATATAATGTTCTTTTAAATTCTAAGTTCCTCAAAATTAAATTGGCCAAAACAAGGGTGGGTGTTTGGCACAGCATTGAGACGCCACTGGGGACACTGGCAAACCCATCTCAAAGTGCCTGAGTCTGCATCCTGACTCCACTTCTGGTCCAGCTTCTTGTTAATGCACACCCTGGGAGGCAGCAGGTGATGGCCCAAGTGCGTGAGTCCCTGCCACCCAAGTGAGAGACCTGGATTGAGTTCCAGGCTCCTGTCTTTGAACTGGCCCAGCTGCATCTGTTGCCAGAGGGTAGAAGAGCTCTTTCCCCTTTCTGTCTGTTTCTGTCTCTGGCTCTCTGCCTTTGAAATAAAATGAAAGTAAATAAAGTTTAATAGTAAAGTTTATTTTTAAAAATTGGCCAAAATGATTTCATTAGATCCTTTTTTGTGAGATTTTTTATGCTTGTGTAGTTAGGATTCCCTGGCCTGAGCTACTGTCTCTTGCAATCGTCATATTTGTGACACGTGACTAAGTGCGGGTACACAGTTGGTTCCTGTCACTGTCATGGTTATTGATTCTGTTGATATCTGTTTCTTGGAATCAGAAACATCGTACCTGAGACTTTTCTCGTGACTGTTTTCCTGAAGTCTTGAGTGCTTGTCTGTCCATGTATAACATTTCCTCCCACTATTAAAAACTAAAGTAATATTTTCATTTTTTTCCTCTCAAGGTTTCTGTTACAAAACTGTTTTTTGTTACTGGTCAAAATTAAGTTGAGAATAATAGTTCCTTTTATTGCTTCCTCTACTTTCTGAGGCATGGCACTGTTAAGATAAATCAAGAATTTCTTAATTAACAAAATAATTTCTTGATTAACACATTTTTTGAAAATTTAAAGATTTATTTAAGGCCAGCGCCGCAGCTCAATAGGTTAATCCTCTGCCTTGTGGCGCCGGATTCTGTCCCGGTTGCCCCTCTTCCAGGCCAGCCCTCTGCTATGGCCCGGGAGTGCAGTGGAGGATGGCCCAAGTGCTTGGGCCCTGCACCCCATGGGAGACCAGGAGAAGCACCTGACTCCTGGCTTCAGATCAGCGCGATGCGCCGGCCACAGCGCACCGGCCGCGGCGGCCATTGGAGGGTGAACCAACAGCAAAAGGAAGACCTTTCTCTCTGTCTGTCTCTCTCTCACTGTCCACTCTGCCTGAAGATTTATTTATTTATTTGAAAGGCAGAGTTACAGAGAGAGGGACAGAGAAAGAGAGAGATCTTCTAGCTGCTGGTTCACTGCCCAGATGACTGCAACAGCCAGGTCTGGGCCAGGCCGAAGCCAGGAGCTTTATCTGGGTCTCCCCGAAGAAGTGGGTGGCAGGAGCCCAAACACTTGGGCCATTTTCCCATGATTTTCCTAGGCCATTAGCAGGATCAGAAATGGAGCAGCCGGGACTTGAACCATGCCTATGTGGGATGCTGGCATCGCAGGCTGTGGCTTTACCTGTTTTACTGCAACACCGACCCCTCAATACGTTTTTTATAAAATAAAACTTCCATACTTACCCAGACATTGCCACCACAATAACCACAGCTTTCCTCCATACCTCCCACCCCACCTACTTCCCTGAGCTGCTGTTTTTTTTTTTATCTCTGCCCTTTTTGATTTAGTAATGGTTTCCATCATATTCAATACCCAGGATTATTGCATACAGTTATCCTGTTATCTGTTTCTTTGAGGTCAATCTGAGTAAATTGTACCCTGCTCTCTTAAAACTAAGGCTTAGGTCTCTGGAGTCTGAACATGGGGACTAAATTCAGATTGCACTGGTCTACCCTGATATTAGTATCCCAAAGACAGTGTCCTGGTACCTTAATAGATCCCCTGGAATGACAGGCCCTGCGCATTGCAGAGTTCTGTTCTGTTATTGTTCACGTTGTTCAGGATCCTGCATTTGTTGCATGTGTCTGGCTTGCTTTGCTCAGCACTATATGTGTGAGATGCATTCAGCTTATAGATTAGCAGCTCGTCTGCCTGTATTTTGGAGTATTTTTCCATTGTATGAATATATCATGATTTGTTTGTGTTTTCTTTTTAAAACATTTTTAAAAATTCATTTTCATTTTATTTGAAAGGCAGGCAGAAAGAGATCTTCCGTGCACTGGTTCATTCCTCAAATGCTGCAACAGCCAAAGCTGAGCCAGGCCAAAGCCAGGACACCTGTCTGGTCTCTCTTGGGCGGCGGGGACCCAAGTATTGGAACCATCAACTGCCGCCTCCATGGTGCACATTAGCAGGAGGTTGGATGTGAAGCAGAGTCGCTGGGAATCAAACCAGGCGCTCCAGTCTGGGATGCAAGCGTCCCAGAGAGCAACTTGACTGCTGCACCATGTTCCCACCTTTATATAGTCTGCTTTTAAAAACTCTTGAGTTATTTCCCATGGGGATATTTTAAATAAATATACAGTGAACATTTTTGAACAGGTCTTTTGGTGGACATAGCATTCCGTGTATGGGAGTGGAGTTGGCTGAGTCACAAGGTAGACATATTTGGCTCTAGTATATATCACTTAACAGGTTTCCTAAGTGATTGATAATTTTACAGTCCACTGCATTATACAAAAGTCCCAGTCCCTCTGTTTTCTTGGCAACTATTAGTATTGACCATGTCTGTTCAATTTTAGCCATTCTGATGGGTGAGTAGCATAAGCAGTGTGTCTCATCGTGATATTCAGTTTGCATTGATAGCAGAGTTTTCAGATGGCCTACAGAGACTTTCAGAAAGCAGTCTGATTAATTTTTAAAATTTTATATTAAGCAGAATAGGCAGCAGAAATATTTTGCCCCACATGGCGAGGTCCTTAGGTTGAGATGTATGATCCATATAACTCATTGAGTATCTGGGGGAAACTGAGTTTAGAGCAAGGTCTTGCCTCTTGCACCTGTTGAGCAGGCTGTGCGAGGCAATGACGTAGGTTGTTGATTTCAGGTAGAAAAGTGGATTGCGGGGGCAGCTGTGTTGACAGCATTCAGTGTGGCTTCTTCCTCCCTAGACCTGTCCTCTCCAGACCCTGCCCTTCTCCAGCGAGGACCAACTCCACTCCTGCCAGCCAGCGTCCGGGTGAGTTGAGATTTCCTGCAGTGCTATTTGTCCCCAGGCTTAGAGTGTGTATTTTCTTACCTTGGGCTGTTCATTCGAAAGCCAGTGTTGTTAGTTTGTTCTGAGCGCCCATCTGCCCATGGCCTCCTCACAGTCCTGCTGATGCAACCGTCACTCACCTCTGGGTTAGCCCCTAACTGTACCCCCAGCAACGTGTGAAACATGACCCTTGACTGGAGTAGAGTGAGATGACTGCTGGAGAACATGCCGGGTAAGTACAAGGAAGGTGGAATGAACACTGTGAACTGCAGGTAGTCTGGAGGGGTTGGAGTTTGTGCTGCCTCACAAAGAACTGGCACCAATGAGGTGTGGGGCGGATTCTAGGTACGGAGGAGTTGGGAGGCAGACGTGTCACAGGATTCAGAAAATGGAGAGGGGGAGGTGTTTGCAAAGTGGCAATCACGTGGCTGGAATATGAAAGAGTGAGTGGTAAGAAGTTGAAGGCTCTGTTCTGTAGGCTTTTGTGAACCATCAGTGGATTTAATAGAGGAAAAGTGACCTCGTAATGTTGCAGAAAAACCGATAACTGAGGACTTAGAAAAGGCAATGGTGGCTCCATGAGCTGTGATTGACCTCACTCTCTTCTTCAGTCAGGCTCCTCGTTATTGGACTCTGCTCTCCCCATTTACCTCCTGCCCCACAACTTAATCTTCTTCTTTTTTTAAAAAAAATTTATTTATTTACTTGAGAGGTAGAGTTACAGAGATAGGCAGAGACAGAGAGAGAAAGTCTTCCATCTGTTGGTTCACTCCCCAGATGGCCTCAACAGCCATAGCTGATCCGAAGCCAGGAGCCAGGAGCTTGTTCTGGGTCTCCCACGCGGGTACAGGGGCTCAAACACTTGAGCCATCTTCCACTGCTTTCCCAGGTTACAGCAGAGAGCTGGATCAGAAGAGGAGCAGCCAGGACACAAACCGGCGCCCATATGGGATGCTGGCACCACAGGCGGAGGCTTAGCCCACTACACACATCTCCAGTCCCACAACTTAATCCTCTTATGAAATAAATGATCCCAATTCTCCTAACTTCAGCTCAGTTATATTTTCAGAACTGTACTGTAACAGTAGATTGCACAATAGATTTAAAGTATATATTTGGTAGGTTTTGGCCTGTGTACATTCATGAAACCGTCACCACCAAGATATTGGACATATTCATGTCAAGAGAACATTCCATTTCCATGTGTGACTTGAGGTCCTTTTAAATTCATTGAAATTTGCGTTTTTTGCCAAGAATATTGCCCATCATCATAAGTGATGAGTGAGCAACCTTGAAAGAATGTATATTTTATCATTTTATACCACTTTATAAATAGTATAAGAACCATATAATGTGCTGCCAATTCTGCCCTCCGAGTTTGCAGCTGTTGTTGCCATATGTTTCTCTTATATCCCATAGAACAATGTTTTCATTTAAGCAGTCAAATATCTATGAAAAATTTACTAAGAAAAAAATGTATATATTTACCCACTTAGTTACCACTTTGGGTGTCGTTTATTAAATCAGTTGATTTTTGTCTTCATTGTGGGTTGTATTTTCCTGCGGCCTACATAATTTTGATTGAATGCCACACACTGAATTTTATCTTACTGAGTTCCATGTATGTTTATATTTTGATAGACTGTTCCTAAGCCTTATTCTGGGAATAGATTACTAGAAACAATGTGTTCTTTCCAGGCCTTTTGATATTTTTTAGGGTGGACGTTTGGATGCTGGCATCCTAGATCAGAACGCCTGGGTTCAAGGGCTGGCTTTGGCTCTTAATTCCAGCTTTCACTTATGTGCACCATGGAAGGTGGCAGGTGATGTCTCAAGTACTGGGGTCCTTTGCAGTCACGTGGGAGACCTGAATGGAGTTCCCTGCTCCCAGTTTTGGCCTGGCCCAACCTCAGCAACTGTGGGCACTCGGGGAGTGTTGTTGCTTTTAGATTTGTTTATTTATTTTACATTTATCTGTAAGATAGAGTTGCAAACAGAAGGGGAGATGGAAAGAGAAATCTTCCATCCGCCAGCTCACTCAAATGTCCTCAACATCCAGGCCTGGGCCAGGACTACGCTAGGAACCAGGAGCTCCATCTGGGTCTCCCACGTGGTTGCACCTTGGACCATCGGCTGCCTTTCCAGGCACATTAGCAGGGAGCTGGGTTGGAAGTGGAGCAGCCAGAACCCAAACTGGCACTCATATGGGATGTCTGTGTTTTAGATGGTGGCTTAGCCTGCTGTGCCACAATGCTGGATCCAGCCCCTCCCCCATTTTAATTACTTTATCTTTAGGTGTAATTTGAAATGTAGGGAAAATCCCACCCTCCATTTTTTAAAAAAGATCTTTGACTCTTCTTGCACATTGGATGTGGTGGGGAAAATATTACTGATGGTAGTTTTGCTGTGCATTTTTGACACATCTTAGGGCACAGTTGACAGTGATGATGAAGAACGATGGCCAGTGTTGACTGAGCACTTTCTGTTTGCTTCGTTTGATTCTGCAGTGACCCGATGTGTGAGCTGCTTGTTGTATAGTCATTTTCAGATGAGGACACGCGGAGACCATTGCTCAGAACTGGCAGCCTGCATCATCTGTCAGGCTTGCTGACCTTGCCCCTTCCTAGGTGAATGCAGTTGAGCAGAAATGCATTTGGTGTTTCAGGAATCTGTGACCTTCAAGGACGTGATAGTGGACTTTACTCAAGAAGAATGGAAGCAGCTGGATCCTGTACAGAGAGATTTATTCAGGGATGTGACGCTGGAAAATTATACGCACCTGGTGTCTATAGGTAAGGCTGAGCTCACAGGGCTAACCAACACCAAGCCTCTTGCTTGTGCCTCCATGTGTCTTAAGTGTTGGAATCAACGTTTGTAAATGCTGAATATTTTAAAAATTATTTCTACCCTCTCTTGGGAAGCAGAGGAACAAAGTAATAATTTTTCTGAACCCAGAGCAGTTCCCGAGTTCTGTCGGGAATTTGGGACATTTCCTCTAAGTTTAACACGGATGCGGTGCTTCTGCCTATTGCAGACAGGGTCCATTGTTTTCTCTCCATGAGCAGGACTCCAAGTTTCCAAACCTGATGTGATTTCCCAGCTGGAGCAAGGGACAGAGCCATGGATGGTGGAGCCAGGCCGTCCAGCTGGTCCCTGTGGAGGTAAGCAATGAATGACAGCAGAGGAATATGCCGAGTGCTAGCTGTCCACTGACACTGTTTGTATCTGAAGTGTACCTGGGTGGTTTGTCTTTGAAGTGTGAGCTGTGGAGAAACAGGAACTGTCTTCTGAACTCTGACGCTGGGTCACGTCGTCACTGTCTCAGTGCCTGTTCTATTTCTGCACTTTCAGAGGAGGTACCCTTCCTGGCTGCCCTCTGCTTCAGGACTTGGTCTCACAATTCTGACCTGCTTTTCAGCCCTTCATTCCTCTGTTTTGAATCTGCAGCTTCCTTCATACCGAGGTAGCACTACAAATACCCCTTGAGATGGGGTTGTATCCAGAGAAGTCCATTGTAAGTTGAAAACAGTAATTTGAAAATGCATTTCAGACACGTCTTTCTCACAGCGCAGCTTAGCAACACAGTGCACTGAAGTGTGACGTGCCCACAGGGCTGATGGGGAGCGGTGGCTGTTGCTGTGGTCAGCATCGGGGGGAGTGTCCTGCGTGTTCCAGCCTAGGAAGAGATGCACGTGAAGTATGCTGTAGAATGCTAATTGCTTTTGCACCACTGTAAATTAGAACCATCGTAAGCCATGGACCATCCGTGTTAATCTTTCTAATCACCATCTGCTTATCTCTCCTTCCTAGTCACACACAGCAGGAGAGCTGCACACCTGCCACCTCCTTTCTCAATATCCTGTGAAGCGTCAGATACCACTTTATCAAACTCTCTCTGAACCTCTTAATGACTTTCTTCTAAGTCATCAGTTTCCAAAGTGCACAAAGTGTCAGATCCTGGGAAAGTTTAAAATATGTCGTAACTCTAGGTACGGGATACATCTCCACTTCCAGAGTTAAGGTGCTGGTGGTTTCTTTTTTATGGGGAAGAATATGTTTTCTGTGTTCCAAATTGGGAAATGATGTATTAGCTAACATTTTATCAGGCCTTGGGATTAGTCCCCATCATTTTCCTCTTCCTCTCTGTTGCTGTCCTTGCCAGGCTGTGTTGGAGGCCTGACGCGTGTGGAATGGTGATGTGTAACACTGACTGGCGCGTGTTCTATCTACCTTGCATGGTTGTCAGCCCTCTCGACTACCTGTCCATGCACAGGGTGGGGCACACTGCTTGGTTCCCAGAGACCATGTGAAGTAAGCAGGATTGCTGTCACAGGAGGGCTGCTGGTGTTCAGTCTGGCCCTCGCAGCTTCTCCGGGTCTTCGTTCTTTGCCTGTCCGTGATACTCGGCAGTTCTCTGCTTGGGCAACTGGGTCGCGGCCTTCATCTCCACCCGGGGTTGGAGATCAGCCACCCCATGTGCCGTCGACTCAGCAGCATCAGGCTCCAAGGTCTGCATGTCCGTCACCCTGATGTACTTGCAGGAGAGATTCTGTACAGCCATCTGCTGTACAGACACATCTCTCTCGAAGTCATTTCTAGTGATGAAAACACATTCCTTAAATGGCTGTTCTGAAAGCCCGTGTTTTGTGATCCTGTCCCCACGGAGAAGCTCTGCTGCGAGAGTGCCTGTGCCGTGCCACGCCCAGGTGCCAGGTGTGGAGGGCACGGTGTGCGACCCCAGGGTTCTCCTCACTGCCCGTGCCTGCAGCAGTGCTGATGGCGATGGCGAGCAGGCTCACAGCATGGGAGAGACGTGGAGCCCTGTGGGATGTGTGGCACCGCCCTCACCAGGGGAGTTCTAGATACAACCTGCCGGCCCTGCCTGCCTGTTGCCTTCCTGTGGTCTGTCTGGTCAGCACTGCTTCCTGATGGTGTGCTTTGCTGTTTCAGTTTCTTCGGTGTGTCTGCTGATTAACTGCTTTCCTCGCCCCAGTACCCTGAATGCTCTCGAGGGTCTTCCCGCTCCTCTCTGCTTCCGCACGTTCTTCCAGTGGCTTCAGTTTTTCTCTTCCTTCTTTGAGCTCAGTTTCCTGTCCTACATTTAAACATCCTAGTTACTCTGCATTTGCCACTCCTGCAAGATGTTATAGTCCAGTCCTCCAGTTCTTTTTCTGATTTTGATTAACTGCTGGGCCAAATGCCCACCCCATACTCATTTTAAAAATTAATCTCCCTACATGTAGCTACCTCCGTCATTGCTTCTTAGAGATTATCTGTGAAATTGAACCAGATATTCTCTTGCCATTTTAATGTGTTCTGTAGTGTTTTCCTCAGCTCCTTCTAGTTTCTCCCAAATTAATAGGGCTGTATATTTGAAAACTGCCAGAATTTCCTGAGGGCTTTACAAATTTCCGTTTCATTAAGTCAGTCCCACAACAGCAGTTTTCTTTTTCTCTATTCAGAGAAGACTGGCATTCTCTTTTTTCTTTCAGACTTGCAGATACAACTTGAAAATAGTGTGTCAGCCCCCGCACCAGACATTCCTGAAGAACCATCTCCACACACAGTAGTGGGAAAACACAGCCCATGGAGCTCCAGCCTCGTGGGAACTGTGGGGTCAGAAGGCAGCCTCGAGAGGCAGCGGGCAGCCCCACTGGCAGTGCCCAGGGAGGTGACGGAATCGAGCAGGGGGAGTGGACCTGCGCATAAAGGATCTGATACACATGTCAGTGAGGGTTCAGGTGTTGGAACACGACAAGAGATAACTCCACAACAGACATCTGCCAAAACCGGTGTCAAACAGAATTCACATCCAGTTAAAAAAGAGAAATCTATTAAGTGCAATGAATGTGGTAAAGCTTTTAGTTATTGTTCAGCTCTTATTCGCCATCAGAGAACACATACTGGAGAAAAACCCTACAAGTGTAATGAATGTGAAAAAGCCTTCAGCCGGAGCGAAAACCTGATAAACCATCAAAGGATTCACACTGGAGACAAACCGTATAAATGCGATCAGTGTGGGAAAGGCTTCATTGAGGGACCGTCTCTGACGCAGCATCAGAGGATTCACACTGGAGAAAAGCCCTACAAGTGTGATGAGTGTGGGAAAGCCTTCAGTCAGAGGACTCACCTCGTTCAGCACCAGAGGATTCACACCGGCGAGAAGCCATACACTTGTAATGACTGCGGGAAAGCATTTAGCCAGAGAGGACACTTCATGGAACACCAGAAAATTCACACAGGAGAAAAACCTTTTAAGTGTGATGAATGTGATAAAACCTTCACCAGGAGCACACACCTTACTCAGCATCAGAAAATTCACACGGGAGAGAAAACCTATAAATGCAATGAGTGTGGGAAGGCTTTCAACGGGCCTTCGACTTTCATCCGTCATCACATGATTCACACCGGGGAAAAGCCTTACGAATGTAATGAATGTGGAAAAGCCTTTAGCCAGCACTCCAACCTCACTCAACATCAAAAAACACATACTGGGGAGAAACCCTATGACTGTGCCGAGTGTGGAAAATCCTTTAGTTACTGGTCATCCCTCGCCCAGCATCTGAAAATTCATACGGGAGAAAAACCTTACAAATGCAATGAGTGTGGGAAGGCCTTCAGCTACTGCTCATCCCTCACTCAGCATCGAAGAATTCACACCCGGGAAAAGCCCTTTGAATGCAGTGAATGTGGGAAGGCGTTCAGTTACCTCTCCAACCTGAACCAGCATCAGAAAACTCACACCCAGGAGAAAGCCTTTGAGTGTAAGGAGTGTGGGAAAGCCTTCATTCGGAGTTCCTCTCTCGCTAAGCATGAAAGGATTCATACTGGAGAGAAGCCTTACCAATGTCACGAATGTGGGAAAACCTTCAGCTATGGCTCCTCCCTCATTCAGCACAGGAAAATCCATACCGGAGAGAGACCTTACAAGTGTAACGAGTGCGGGAAAGCCTTCAACCAGAACATACACCTTACGCAGCATAAGAGAATTCACACAGGAGCAAAGCCTTATGAGTGTGCCAAGTGTGGTAAGGCCTTTCGACACTGTTCGTCTCTTGCTCAACATCAGAAAACTCACACAGAAGAAAAGCCCTACCAGTGCAATAAATGTGAGAAGACGTTTAGCCAGAGCTCTCACCTGACTCAGCACCAGCGAACTCACACTGGGGAGAAGCCCTACAAGTGCAGTGAGTGTGACAAGGCCTTCAGCCGAAGCACTCACCTGACGGAGCATCAGAACAGCCACACTGGAGAGAAGCCCTACAACTGTCCTGAATGCAGGAAGACTTTCAGCCAGAGCACGTACCTCATTCAGCATCAGAGGGTTCACTCAGGGGAGAAGCCTTTCGGCTGTAACGACTGTGGGAAGGCATTCAGATACCGCTCTGCTCTCAACAAACATCAGAGGCTGCACCCTGGCATATGATGGTGCTGGGCATTGTCAGTGTCCGGGCTGTTTGCTGTGGATATCAAGAAGCAGAGTGGATTGGGAAACTGCTTAAAACATTTTAACTTTACTGCCATGCTGTGAGGTAGAAAATACCTTACCAGAACTAATGGTATTAACAATTTTGTGACATTGAGAAACTTAACTATGTTACATTTCACTTTCCTCTGTGAAGTGAAAGATTTGCAGAGGATTTCAAATTGCAGAGTTATGCGTGGAGTTTATAATGAGTTTTGTATGTTCATAGTGTATTCCTGAGTAGATTTACATTGTCAGCATTTTATTGTTGCATCTGGAGTGTGTGGGATGCACGCTTCACCAGTAGAAGCCGTCTGCTTCCAGCGCTAGGCTGTGCTCCTGTACACTTAAGTTCTTTAAGTCACGGTTCCTAATAAAAGGAAATTGACTATAAAACACCCTCAAATTAATAATCCAGTTCATCTTGTAACCTAACTCAGTATTCATATTAAAATGTCCTGTTTCCTCTTCAAGTATTTTTTTTTAAGATTATTTATTTGAAAGAGTTAGAGAGCGAGAGACCTTCCCCTGGTTCATTCCCCAAATGGCCACAATAGCTAGGGCGGGGCCAGGCCACAGCCAGGAGCCAGGAGCTTCCTCCAGATCTCCCACAGGGGTGAAGGGGCCCAAGCACTTGGGCCATCTTCCACTGCTCTCCCAGGTACATCAGCAGGGAGCCGGATTGGAAGTGGAGCAGCTGGGACTCAGACCTGCGCCGATATGGATGCTGGCATTGCAGGTGGTGGCTTTACCCACTTTACAACAATGCCAACCCCCTGTAGTGTTTTTAACATTCTAGGAGTATATCAAAAATACAGAGACCTGCTTACCACAGCTTGAACCAGTATTACTTAACCCTGGTTGCATGTTCGATTCACAGGTGCCTTAGTCTGTCCTGCTGCCACAAAATACCACAGACCAGGTGGGTTACACAACAGAAGTTTATTGTTCAGAGTTCTGGAAGCTGAGGAATCTAAGATTAAGGCACTGGTGTCCACCAGGGGCCTGCCTGGTTGCACACCATGTCTCTCCTCCCATGCCCTCATTGTGGAGAGCAGGGAGAGAATGCAGTCTCCTGCGTGTCTATAAGGACACTGATCCCATCCGTGAGGGCTCCATCCCTGTGACCTAGTCACCCCAGGGCTCCCACCTGCTAATGGACCACCATGCTGAGGATTGGGCTTTCAATATAGGGATTCAGGGATGACACTCTCCTTCCATAACACCTGGAGAGCTGTGTAAAACATTTCGTTGCTGAGGCCCTACCTTGAACTCCTTGCCCTAGTGGTGGGTCCTGAGCGTCAGCATTTTTTTTAACTCCTGGTGTGTACTCCGTGAAGGGCAGTGGCCTTAGATTTGAGTCCCCACTTCCGTGGCTGCCCCAGAAGGCGCTCAGATGAGCCAATCAGTACCTAGATTACATCCTTCTAAGTCTTACCCTGTTTTGTAAAGAGTTCTCACAAGCTCTGGGAGATGGGGTATGTTTGCTTCTTTACCGAAGTGCAAAAATCAAATGGCAGTGTAAAATGATGGCCATTGCCCTTACTTGGGGTTACCTCATATCAGAAGCAGGTCCCAAGTAGATGACACTCCTGGGAAGCCCACAGCCCCATGGCCATTTGTGGTGAACCTTGTCAGGATAACATTTGAGCCAGAAACAAAGATGAGGTCAGCAATAAATTTTTCAGAATAGTTATCAGGTCACCTCTTTTTAAGAGTAATTGTTGAGGTCAGTGCTGTGGCATACTGGGTAAAGCCACCGTCTACAGTGCTGGTATCCCATATGGTTGCCAGTTCAAGTCCTGACTGCTCCACTTCTGATCCAGCTCTCTGACCTGGGAAAGCAGTGGAGGATGGCCCAACTCCTTGGGCCTCTGTACCTGTGTGGGAGACCTGGAAGAAGCTCTTGGCTCCTGGCTTCGGATCGGTGCAGCTCCAGCTGTTGAGGCCATTTGAGGAGTGAACCAGTGGATGGAAGACTTCTCTCTCTGCATCTCCTTTCTGTGTAACTCTGACTTTCAAATAAATCAATCAGTCTGAAAAAGGAGTGCTAATTGTCCAGCCTGGTCTTGGAAATGGAGAGCTCTGACACAGGGTAGAGTAGAAGTTGACTATTACTTATGGATAAGTTCTTTCAGGTTTCCCACAAACAAGAAGTTTGGGGAAGGGCAACACAGACTTTTTACAAATGAAAAAAAAAACAATGCAGTCATTTTTTGCTAGTGATCTGCATTGGAATTTTGCTGCCACCTCATTAACTCTGAAAGATACTTCCCACGTTGTGCCATTAATTTGATCTCTACAGGTACTAGGTACTGTCAGACCTAGAGCACCAACAATATGTGATCATAACCTAACTTTATTCCTTTTTTTTTTTTTAATGGGCATATGGGAGTCCTCAGCTGGGTTTTTGTTTTAACATGAAATTAATTCAAAGCAGAGACAAAGTACGAATGGGAGCAGGGTTTATTTAAAGAGAGAATACACTCTCAGACATAAGTGCTAGCAGTCCCCTGAGGAGAATTGCACCCACTCCAGTTCAGCTGCCACCTTTATTGGGTATGGGGTGGTTCCGGTTATTTCTGATTTGAAGCCACGACCGATGATGCTACTGAGAACATTCTTGCATGTGTCTTCCGGGGAACACATATGTCCATGTCAGGTATTTACCTGGCAGTGAGAATTCAGGTTCGGGGCATGTACTTGTTCCATGTCAGGCATTGCCAAATGGTTTGCTGAAGAGCTGCACCAATTCACGCTCCCGTCGCCCCTGTTTGAGTTTCTGTTGCCCCTCCCCATCTTTGCCAACATTTTCACTGTGCTTGTACCCTTAGCCACTTGGGCAACGTTTCAGAAGCCTGTAGACCCCCAAGTGGAGATGCGAGTCTACAGCAGGAGGGGGGCCGCAGTGTATTTCGAGGTCATGGAGTGGATGCCGGAAACTTCTGCACAGCCTGCAGAAGCCTCAGCTGCTAGAAATGAGAGGAGCCGTGTGTAAGGGAGGCGGCTTGTGTTGGAGGAGGAGCAGCCACAGAGTGCTCTCCTGGGACGCAAGTGAGGAAAGTGTTTCCTTTTTTTTTTTTTCTTTTTCTTTTTTTCTTTCTTTATTTCTTGACAGGCAGAGTGGACAGTGAGAGAGAGAGACAGGGAGAAAGGTCTTCCTTTTGCCATTGGTTCACCCTCCAATGGCCACCACAGCCAGCGCGCCGCAGCCAGCGCACCGCGCCTATCTGAAGGCAGGAGCCAGGCGCTTCTGGTCTCCCATGGGGTGCAGGGCCCACGCACTTGGGCCATCCTCCACTGCACTGGCCACAGCAGAGAGCTGGCCTGGAAGAGGGGCAACCGGGACACAATCCCGGCGCCGCGGCTCACTAGGCTAATCCTCCGCCTAGCGGTGCCGGCACACCGGGTTCTAGTCCCGGTCGGGGCGGCGGATCTTTCCCGGTTTCCTTCTTCCCAGGCCAGCTCTCTGCTGTGGCCAGGGAGTGCAGTGGAGGATGGCCCAGGTGCTTGGGCCCTGCACCCCATGGGAGACCAGGAAAAGCACCTGGCTCCTGGCTCCTGCCATCGGATCAGCGCGGTGCGCCGGCCGCAGTGCGCCGGCCGCGGCGGCCATTGGAGAGTGAACCAACGGCAAAAGGGAGACCTTTCTCTCTGTCTCTCTCTCTCTCTCTCTCTCTCTCTCTCTCTCTCACTGTCCACTCTGCCTGTCAAAAAAAAAAAAAAAAGAATCCGGCGCCCCGACCGGGACTAGAACCCGGTGTGCCGGAGGGTTAGCGCCGGCCGCGGCGGCCATTGGAGAGTGAACCAACGGCAAAAGGCAAAAGGAAGACCTTTCTCTCTGTCTCTCTCTCTCACTGTCCACTCTGCCTGTCAAAAAAAAAAAAAAAGAATCCGGCGCCCCGACCGGGACTAGAACCCGGTGTGCCGGAGAACCCGGTGTGCCGGAGGGTTAGCCTAGTGAGCTGCGGCGCCAGCTGAAAGTGCTTCCTGATGAGGGGGTGGCCAGCTGCTAGTGGCTGAGTGAGATGAAGACGGAACATTGGCTCGGTGTGGTCAGTGGTGAGATCGAGGTGAGAACGGCAAGTAAGCAATTGAGAGAGGAAATTTTTTTTTTTTTTTTTTGGACATGCAGAGTTAGAGAGAAAGGTCTTCCGTTTGTTCACCCCCTAAATGGCCGCTACAGCCGGTGCACTGCACTGATCTGAAGCCAGGAACGAGGTGCTTCCTCCTGGTCTGCCTTGTAGGTGCAGGGCTCAAGCACCTGGGCCACAGCAGAGAGCTGGACTGGAAGAGGAGCAACCAGGACAAAACCAATTTGAGAGGGGACCCTAGGTTGTCCTAGCTTAGGTTGAAAACAAACTTGCAGCATTGGGGTGGGGGGTGGTCAGGGAGTGAGAAGGCAGAAATTGAGGCTGTGAGAAGGGTACTTGCGGTAATGCAGAAGGGTTAGGGTGCGACTGCGAGTGTGCATGGGAGGCAGAAGGGAACCATCACTAGTGGGGAGGAAATCAAAGACTTGGGAGCCTGGGGTAGCAGAGGGGTGGACTCCACACGCGGTGTGAGCAGTTGTGGGAAGGGAAGCACGTGCTTGCTGTCACAGATGAGGGCGGGGTCCAGCACCAATGGATGACTTCAGAGAGAAAGGTAGCGAGTGGCTTAGTTTGCCTGGCAGGTGTCTCGGTGGAGCTAGGGGCCCCAGGGTGGCACCGAGGAGAAAGGAGGGCACCATCTCGTCTTGAGGCCCCCGTTGAATCCCACAGAGCAAAGTAGCCCCTGCTGTCCTAGGAGACGTAGAGAGAAGACGACATGCTGGGAGAGGAGCCAGAATTGTGTGAAGAATTGGTTTTCGCTGTCTGAAGCAGTTTCTTACAAATCCTGTCTGACAAATGCTGGTGAGAGCGGCTTTGGTAATTTGGGAACACGTTGCTTCTAGAAGAGTGAACATAGAACATAGAGCTCCAACATTGTAATAAGAGGAAGAAGGCAGACAGCAAAGAGGCAGCTGCCCTGCAGGATGAGTGAGAACTGGGGTGCATCACTGAGTACCTGGTGGGAAGATAAGAGGGAGGCTGAGGCCAGTCTGTCCAGTGACCCTCACATCCTGACCCAGTCTGTGGGTAAGTTACAGGATGCAAGCTGGAGAGGATAGCAAGTCAGAGAGGGCCAGGGAGTACTTGGCAAGTTATGGGATGAAAGGGTTAGAGGCACACTGTATTTTTTTTTTTTTAAGACTTATTTATTTGAGAGGGAGGGAGAGATTTCCATCTGCTGGTTCACTCCCCAGATGCCTGCAGCTAGCTGGGCCAGGCCAAAGCCAGGAGCCAAGAGCTTCTTCCAGGTCTCCCTGTGGGTAGCAAGGGCCCAAGCACTTGGGCCATGTTCCATGGCTTTTCACAGGCCATTAGCAGGGAGCTGGATCAGAAGTGGAGCAGTCGGGGCTGGGAAGGGGGGGGCAGGGGGGGCAGGGGGA